GATATATAGTTTTCTTAAGATTCTTTAGGGGTTCATGACCCTAAAATGGTAAGAATTATTGCTTTATAGGTTGCTTATTTCTGCTCTTAGAAAGTACCTCTTTGTGTTTTTTAAGAAACTAGTTGCTTTATTATATCTGTACATGTGAGAACAAAATCAGATTTGATTTTCAAACCAAATTCTCAGAAACCTTATATTCACTGTGTTTTATTTACTTACAGGATAGTGCAGCTGTCCAGATTCTCTTAGAGATTTGCTTACCTAAGGAAGAGGAGAAAGCAAATGGTATCAATCCAGACAGCTTGCTAAGGAATGTTCAAAGTGTTATTACCACTAACACTCCAAATAAGGGGATGGAGGAAGGAGAAGACAATTTACTCTGTAATCTTCGGGAAGTTCAGTGCCTTATCTGTTGTCTCTTGCACCAAATGTACATTGCAGATCCCAACATTGCTAAGCTTGTTCACTTTCAGGTCTGTTTGTAAAGAATGATGCTTTGTGGTTGACCTTTATTTTGGGGGGAGCTTTGAATACTACCATGTTTATTAATAGGGATCATTTAGAAGCTAGAGATAACACAAATGATCATGATCCTTTGCAATATGGAGAAAAATCTACATGTTTTAGGTTTTTTTCAATTCTCTACATGTTTTAGGTTTTTTTCAACTTAATAAAGTATTCAGATAATTTATTTCTATCCTAGCACATCACAAAAGTGAAATGCAAGAATACATGTAGGGCACTATAGCCTTTTGAGCAACTTTTATGAAAAGGAAGTGAAACTTTTCATTTGTATTTTTCTCTGTTTTGACTTATAAATTTTTCCTACTTTCTTGATTTAGGGTTATCCATGTGAACTTTTGCCTCTGACAGTTGCAGGTATTCCATCTATGCACATCTGTCTGGATTTCATACCTGAGCTTATTGCACAGCCAGAACTTGAAAAACAGGTAATGAACATTTTAGAGCTTTCAGACAATTGTTGTCTAGCTGGGTGTTGTGGTGGGTACCTGTAGTCTCAGCCATCTGAGAGGCTGAGGCAAGAGAATCACTTGAGCCTGAGAGTTTGAGGTTGCTGTGAGCTATGACTATACAGCACTCTACAGAGGGCAACAAAGTAAGACTCTGTCGCCAAAAA